CTGAGATGTATTTCATTTTTATTTTTTATTAATTCATTTTTTAATTTTTGCATAGATAAGAAATTACTTTAAACTCTTACTGGGGCAAGGATATGGCAGTGCTGGTCCTTAAATTCTAGTTTCTTATCAGATGTCTATGTTTCATTAATGGTTGATGGTTTGATTCTGCAGCAGTAAAGGAMTTTTAACTGTGATAAAACATATGCATGGGTTTTGGAATATATTCACTGATGTGTACAGTATTTGTTGTTTGTATTACATAACTCATGTTTGGAGTTTTCAAAATTTTATGGTAGACTTTGTGTAATACTTTATGCTTTGCAGATGTTAAGGTTCACACACAATATTTAATCATTATCACTGAAATTAACAAATCCATCCTCAGGGATTTGACAGCTCTGGAAGTGATGATGAAACAGCATCAGGAGCTGAAAACCAAAATAGATGGTCGCAGCAAGACCATACAACAGTGTGCAGACCTTGGCAAGATTTTAATAGCTGCAGGCAACCCTGCATCAGAGGAGGTCAGATAAACTGCACAATTTTACTAACACACATATCAAAAACACACTTTAAATGTCATAATACTAAGTCTTCAAGACACTGTGTTCATTTCTGTAATCTACTTGTCACAACAGATAAAGGAGAAGTTGGATTGTCTGTTGACCAAGCAGAAGGATCTTGTGGAGAAATGGGACAAACACCAGGAAAGGTTACAGTGCAGTAAGTAATAAAAGCACCCAACACAGTTACGCACACATTTTCTGTAATATGCACTATCCCTTCTTAATTAAATAAACAAACACAATATTATCTTTAAACACACACTTGGCTAAAGATATAACAAATTCAAAGCTGCATGTCCTTTAACTCTGACTTGACATCACACATTCATGTTGATCATGACTGCAACAGTAAGACTGACATCCAACACAAATACAGACCTGTGGAATCTGTTTCGTTTTTCACTAATTCTTTAAAACAAATTATTTCATGTTTCATGATATAATCACCTATTTTAACATGGGRTGTTCTCAAACCCACCCTAATGCTTTCTTGGTCTGAAGCAGAGGCCTACCAGTAGATAAAGGAGGTCCTGGATGCCCCAATGCTGTATATTGTGGATTGCGGGGTATTTTTTGGCGGAACGGTGGCTCAGTTGGTAGAGCTGATGCCTCTCAGCAAGAAGGTCACCSGTTCAAATCCCGGTCCGGGGACCTTTCTGGGTAGAGTTTGCATGTTCTCTCCGGGTACTCCGGCTTCCTCCCACAGACCAAAAACATGACTGTTAGGTTAATTGATAACTCTAAATTGTCTCTAGGTGTGAGTGAGAGTGAATGGTTGTTTGTCTCGTTTGTCTCTATGTGTGG